CACACACCCAAATGGTTCCTTCCCATGGTCGTTATCCCCTACTAATAAAAGTGCTTTTGCTGGCATAGGAAGGTAGGTTTTACTCAGAGGGAAACTGGCAAATAATGAAGATGAACTGGGGGTCAGAAACTGTACAAAATATATCTGACACGCTGCACCGGTTCTCAGCAAAGTACTAGCACAACCTATTGCAACACTGGATCTATAAATAGAATGAGGGGCCAATTGGTGGAACTGCAGGATGTGTGCTTTGGCCTAATGATTAGATAGGCTTCCTGGAAAAGATGGACTGATTATTTCTCCTCACACTGAGCCGTGTGCATAGGTGGCACCCATGAGTCCCATTACCTTGCATTGATATTGATTAGAATTTAAAAACAAAGAGATAGACCATCTGAAACCCATATAGTATTGTATATCAACTGTAACTGAAAAATAAAAAAAATATTTAAATTATATTCTCCAAACCCTTCACTGCATTAAAGCTTGTGATATAGCCACAGAATAATAATAACAACAATAACAACTGTGTTATCACGGAAAAGAAAGGGACCCTGAACTTTTGGAAATCTGCTTATTTTCACTCATTTCACCAGGAATCTTTTACCATAGCCAGGGTTTTAATTCTACTCAACACTCAAGGCCCAAATAAATTCTGCCTCATTTAGGCAATTTTTCCTGTGACCTTCAATGTGCTCTCTCCTCTCAATTTTCACAGCTTCATTTCTTCCTGGGACATTATTCACAACTGTCGGATCCCTGGCATCTCCATGAGGCTCTGAGCTACCCAGAGGGAAGATCTAAATGTTACTGTTGCATCCCATACGAGTCTAGGTTGGTACCTGACACACAGTGGATGTTCAACAAGCATGTAGACTTGAAGGGGACAGTTAGTTTGCTAGATCGTTCAGTGGTCCTCAACCTTCCTAATGCCGCGACCCTTTAATACAGTTCCTCATGCTGTGGTGACCCTCAATTTCATTGTTACAAATTGAACATAATTAAAGCATAGTGATTAATCACAAAACAATATGTAATTATATATGTGTTTTCTGATGGTCTTAGGCGACCCCTGTGAAAGGGTCGTTCGACCCTTAAAGGGGTCGCGACCTACAGGTTGAGAACCGCTGGTTTAGGTCATCTCTAATCTGCATATTCCAGAATGGCAAGGGCTGCAGAATGGCTAATTACACAGATGTTAATTATATGAATACAATATACAGTAAGTATTGTACTTGCTGTTTCCTCTGCCTGGAGGCCTTTCCCTGAGCTATATATTTAGTTCTTTCCTGTATCTCCTGCTGATCTTTGCTCAAATGTTACCCTCAAAGAAAGACCTTCCCCAATTAACCTATTTAAAATTTCAACACACCCCTGCCATCATTTGAATGTTTGTGTCACTCAAAATTAATATATTGAAATCATAACCACCAAGGTGATGGTAGTAGGAAGTGGGGCCTTTGGGAGCTGCTTAGGTCATGAGGGTCATAATGAGAATAGTGCCTTAAGAAAGAGACCCACAGAGCTCTGTAGCTCCTTCTGCCCAGTGAGAATAGAATTTGAAGTCTGCAATCAGAAGAGGGCCCTCACCCGACCCTCCTGAAACCCTGATCTCAGACCTCCAGCCTCCAGAACAGTAAGAAATAAATTTTTATTGTTTATAGGCACCCAGTCTGTGGTATTTTGTTACAGCAGCTTGAATGGACTAAGACATATACACCCCCAACACAGGAACTACCTATCCCTTTTTCCAAATTATTTTTCTGTATATCACTGATCATCATCTAACATACAGTATGTTTTGCTTTTAATTTTTCTTATTTTCCATTAATCACTTCACATCATAGAATGTAAATTCTATGGAGCAGAGATCTTTATATTAGTAAATTATATGTATTCCTTTACTCAGTAATGCTTAGAAAAATCCCTGGCAGGTTAAGCACAAGATAGATACTCAATAAATAGCTTTGGAATGAAATTTAAAAATGAATCATAAAGCATTAATAAAACACCTACCTCTACCTGGCACTGATCCTATTGAAGACACTGAACCTAATCAAATACATGCAGCCCAGTGGGTCTGCACAGTCAGGGGGCAAGCAGTGCCTGAGAGAGCAGAGCAGGTATCTCCTCTGAGGCCATCACCAAAGGTTAGGGCCCTGCTTCCAGTCTTGCATACCTTTGTCCTTAACAAGTCCAGAACCACTAAATGGGTGAACAGCTACACCGTAAAGCACAGATAATAAGTGCTAAAGGGGTTCGGACCCAGAAGAAGTCACTTCACAGACATCACTGCGAGATGTGTGGTAGTCAGCTCCTGAGATATCCCCTAGGTTTCCTATCCTTCTGGAATTCACATCCTGTGGGTCTCCTGCCACAGTGAATCGGGACTGCCCTATGGCACTGACAGAAACTTTCCAAGGCTAGGTCAGAAAAGGTATCTCAGCTCCAGCCTTGGTCTCTCAGATTCCTCACTCTTTGGAAGGTAGCTGTGCTTCCCACTATACTACCAGTGTATCCCTCATTCTTTGGGAAGCCAGCTGTCATGCTGTGATGACTCTCAAGGAGCCCAGGGAGAGGAACCAATTCACCATCACCAAACTGCCAGCTATGTGAGCGAGCCTCCTTGGAAGTAGACCTTCTCAACCTGGAGAACTCTGTAGATGGCTGTAGCCTTGGCCAATGTCTAGTTTCAAACTCATGGGTGATCCTGAATGAGAACCACCTAAGTGAGCCACTCCTGAATTCTAAAATCCACAGAAATCATGAGAGGTAATAAATGAAAATTATTGTTTTCAGCCATTAATTTTGGGAGGTTTATAACACAGTAATAGATAACTAATACAAGAGGTCATGGAAATGACTTCCACTAAGGAAGTAGGGCTTGAAACAGAGGCATCAAAAAAAATTGTAGAAATAACAGGCAAAGCAGAAACGCAAGTATGGGGAGAAACCATGAGCAACGGCAGGTACGAATGTTCCATAGAAACCACAACCACACAGAACCCCAGGATGGGAACAAATCTAAAGGACATTCGTACCTTTCATCTAATGCTAAAGTTCATTCTTAAAATAATAAAATGAAGGCAAGCGTTGCATGAATTTATCTAAGCTGAAACCCAGGAGAAGGTCGATTCTCCTCCATGTAGTGATACAAATGAGGAGTATTCAGTCACAACAGAGACCAACCACATTCCTGAGCCTGAATTGAGGTCACTCCTCAAAGCGATTTAATAAGAATTGAGGGAGGAGGAAGAGAGAGAGCAGGAGAAAGGGGGGAGGGAGGGAGGAGGAGAAGTAAAAGAAGCAGAAGCATGCCGAGTATTCAGTCACAACAGAGACTACATTCCTGAGTCTGAATTCAGGTCACTCCTGAAAGTGATTTAGTAAGAATTGAGGGAGGAGGCAAGAGAGAGAGCAGGAGAAAGGGAGGAAAAAGAGGAGAAGAAAAAGAAGCAGAAGCAGGAGGAAAAGAAGGAAAAAGAAGAAAGAACAACAATTATAGCAACTCTACAACAGAAGAAGAAAGAGGAGAGAAAGGAAGGAAAATATTGATTAACTGAAATGCTATGTGGTGGGCATTGTCCTAAGTTCTTTAAATACATCAGCTCATTTTACCCTCACTACAACTCCACATCCTCAAATTATTTTAGTTCTATTTCTTCCTCCCCCTCTTCGCAAGAGACTTCCCTTCACCCCATTCTCCTGAAAGTGGACAGCTACAGAGAAGGATTAAGTCATCATGCACCTAACCTCTTTTCAGGAAAAAACTGAGCACATAGTCAAGGTTCCAGCAGGGTCCAGCCAAGAAAGAATCTACTCACAGATTGGGGCATTCCCTTCCCTGAGGATATAAAGTTAAATTTCCTAGACTGCTGATCAGTGCGCCTCTAGTCAAAGAAAGAATGTATCTGAGATGAAAAAGAAAAAAACCTACAGCATTCTCTATTCCAAGAAATCATGTTCTACTGCCCAGAGTCGGTTCTTCTAGAGGCCAGTGGTGGATCTGGAACCCCTCCTGGAGGAAGGATTTCACCACAAAGGTAAGCCCCTATTTGAAGAAGAAGATACAGGTATTTGCCTTTAACCAAAGGGAAGCATGGGGGGACTTGTTCTGTAGGGAGTCACTTTCCAAAGATTCTGCCATATGTTCAGTGGTATAAGGAGGGGAGGAACTCCAGGTCAAGGTCAAGCCAGAGGAGGTGGAGTTAGTAAGCATTCCCCTCCACACCATCCTCCCGTGAAAAGAGGGTATATGCTGAACTAGGATTAGAGAATCGTTTTTAAAACTTACTCAAGGTACTGAAATAGCTGGCTATACTTCTGAGAAAACAAAACATAGAAAATTAATTATAAAAGGTATATATACCTCAGAGAGTCTGGAAGATAAGGCATGTACCAATTAAAGGCTTACAGAGTAATGGTCTTCTTACTATCTATGAGACCAGACTTTCAACAAATACCATCCCAATGGCATTGATGATGGACATGAAAGGGTCACCATCAAGAAAGTCTAGGAATGATCACCAAGATCTCATATACATAGGGCTCAACAGAACATTCTGGAAATGGACGAAGAGGATGCCCAAGAAGCTTCTATGGAAAAGAGTAGTCATAAAAACTCTTTCTCATAAAAAAATGGAGCATTATGCTAAGTCAGAGAAAGATAAACATCACATGATCTCACTCATATGTGGGGTATAATGATCAACATAATTTGATGAACAAGAATAGATGCAGAGACAAATGACGGGGGGCGGGGGGTGTTGGTTAGAGAGCAACCAAAGGACTTGTATGCATGCATATTAGCATAACCAATGGACACAGACAGACACTGGGGCAGTGGGGGCTTGCCCGGGGTGGGAATGACTGGGGACAGGGGGGAGGGGGGTCAAGCAGGGAAAAAGGAGACATATGTAAAACTTTAAACAATTAAAAAAAAGGCCTTGGACTCTTGAAACAATGGAATTATCAAACAGATAGGCCATCCCTGAGTTTACCATCATTGAAGCTGTCACTGTTGGTAACGTGGGTGAACGGTGACTGGGCCCGCGACTCCTCACTCAGAGAATAGCTGTGCTCGGCCTGGATGAGAGGGGCTGGGGATGTTGGGGATGGCTCCACCTCCATCGACACACTCTTCTCTGACAGGAAAGGGTCGTTCAGCAGCTGACCCAAGACGTTCTGGGAAAACTCATCCAGGAGTTCTGAGAAGTGCTGCAAGAAACAAACGAGGAAGAACTCAGTTTCTCAGTACCATGATCTGATATTTACACATGAATTTGAAAGCAAATATAGCATGCAGAGCTTTAATTGAAGTCACTGAGATACAATGTCCAGTTATCTATGGCTGCACAGCATACTACCCCAAAGTTCAGAGGCTTAAAATACCATAGTTTATTATTTCTCACCACTTGGTGAGTCGCCTGGGTGGATGAGCTAATTTCTTCCGGGTTCCATGATAGAACCATAGTGAACTAGAAGGTTGGCTGGGGGTCTGGGCTGGGCCAGGACAGTGAACACCTGGGCTTTTTGCTCAAAGAGGCCTCCTCAGGCTGAAATTGCTCACATGGTGGTAGAAATGTTCCAAGAGGGAGCAAAACAAAGCTGAATGACCTCAGAAGTCACAGATTATCCCTCCCTCCACATTCTATTGGTCAAGGCGAGTGATACGGCCAGCCCAGATTCAGGGGGTAGGAAAATAGATTCCACCTCTCAATGAAGGAATGGCAGAGTCACACTGCAAGAGAGTGTCAGCATGACTCACAGGGGCCATCACTATAACTCCCTACCGCCATCTGCATTGGGAAGATTTTAAAATAGCTATCTTGTTATTTATAGCAAAGTGCCAAGTTCAAAGGCATCAAAGGCAGCTCCCCTCCATTCTCCCCACCACCTGGGCTTTGTTCCTCTCTAGTTTTTCCTTAATCTCTTTTTATCCCCCATTCCCAACACCACCAAATCCCTAGCCCCCACCCTACCATGAAGATGATACAGGAATAATCCATACATATATTCACAGAGATCTCTATATCCCTTGTTCCACTGTCTCACTGTGAAGAAGCTGCAGCCCCATCCACTCTCCCTCACTGACAGAGGATGCTCATGGCAGGAGGATCTGTAGAGCAGGATCCTATAACCTTGGCACCACTGGCATTTTGGACTGGATAATTCTTTATTAAGGGAGTGGGGTTGTGCTGTGTATTATAGGAGGTTTAGCAGCCTCCCTGGCCTCTATCCACTCAATGCGAATAGCACCCCCTAGTTTTGAAATGAAAAATGTCTCCAGACACTGCCAAATGTCCCAGAGCCAGGAGGGGTGTCATTCTTGGTTTAGAACCACTGCTACAGAGTATATTAAAAATAATGCTGAGTTAATTCAATTTAAAAGTCCATTCTGACAATATCTGTTAGAGCCATTTCTTCCTTCTTAACTTATCCAGAGGACATACTAACATGTCATCCTTATTGATTAAACGTTAGGGACGTTTCTGGTATAGAAAAGAAGTTACCAAAGCAGATACAGCGATAAGAGAACTGATTGCAAATGGTGACATTTGGGTGGGCAATGAAAACTCTTAGGATTGACATGGGTAAGTCCTACCACTGAACTGGAGTGTCAGTGAAGGTGTTCTGAAAAGGAATATAGCTGGGGGAACGGATGTAGGAGGTGGCTCTAAGGTGAGAGCTCTAAGATTAGGGCAGAACTTCTCCTGTGATAAAGGAGAAAAGCAGACAACACAGAGGAGGTCCTTGTAGGCTGGATCCCTAAAGCAGAGTTACATTGGTGGCTTTCACCAACACCACAGACATGAGAAATGGCTGCATCCCATCAGGACAGAATGCAAGACTGGCACGTCCTGATCAGCATCAGTCACCTATGAGAACAAGACAGCATGGTTGGGAGAGAGTTCTCTGCGTACAAACACATTTAAAACTGAAAGGTCCTGCTCTGGCTGGTGTGGCTCAGTTGGTTGAGCATTGTCCCATGCACCAAAAGGTCACTGGTTCGGTTCCCCATCAGGGAACATACCTAGGTTGTGGGTTCGATCCTGGTTGGGTTTGTACGGGAGGCAACTGATCAATGTGTCTCTCTTGATGTTTCTCTCTCATCGTCCTAAGGACCTTTCAGAATATCAAAGGGAAGAATTCCCAGTTGCCAACTGTCTACATCACAATTACCAGAACAGTTTTTAGTCATTTTATAATGAAGTATTTTAAACATTGGAAGAATTATAGAGAATAGTGCCACAAATAACCAGGTATTCATTCCTTTGGGGGAAAAAAAATCTTATTTTTTTCATGTTTGCTGCTGCAACCTTTTTTCTTCACTCTTTTTTTAAAGAAATAAAATATGCAAGGACTATAAAACTCCCACTCAATCGTCTTCTTCCCTCTCAAAGGTAACTACTACCCTAAACTTGGTGTTTGTCATTCCCATCCACACTTTTACTGCGTGTATGTTTCCACTGTGCACATATGAACTTTTTAAACTTTAGTAAGTAGTACTGTACTTCACACATCTTTCTGCAACTTTATTTCTCCAAAAAGGTTTTTTTCTATTTATTCATGTTTATACATGTAGTTCTATTTCATTCATTTAAACCTCTGAATTATATTCCATTGTATCTACCCATTTCTCCTTGAGGAGTATGTAAAGATTTTATTATTCTATATGATGCTAAATAAACATTCTTGAACACGAAGGGAAAATTTTTAAAAGTACCAATCCTGTGACCCACCTTCAGAGATTTGACTTAGTTGGCCAAAGGCACCACCACCAGTGATTCTAATGCTCACTTCAGTTTCTGAACCACTGAAGGTCGGCCCCACCGCCACTCCCCACTCTCCTCCCCACCCCACTTTTACAGGGAACTCCCTAGAAGTTTACAAAGTCCCTAGAAGTTCAGATGTGCCCAAGTCAAAGGAAGAGTCGTGTATTTAGCAGCTACACATGCTAGACTTTAAAGAGACACTGGGGATACAAAACAACAAATAAGAAGATAGAAAAAGCCCATCCTTCCCTGAGCCCACCAACATTAGGTGCTATGAATCGCCCGGGGATCTTAAGACATAGATGCAGACTCCCAAGTCTAGTGGGCCTGAGGGCCTGCATTTCTAAGAAGCCCCCGGGGATGCTGCTAGGCTGTAGCGAGGAGCAGAACAGCTTCAGGCTCAGATCAGAACCCAGGTTTCCCTGATTCCAGGATAACCTGTTCTGATTCCCTAAACAGCTCCCCAAAGACAAACTTACTGGTGGCCTGATGGTAAATACTCTGCAAGTGCCTGACGGAGTTCCTTTCAAGACCAAAGTTAAGGTAACGAAAGAGAAATAAATCGTAGGATGTAAAATGCAAAAGCAAGAGTGGGACTCGCAGTCCCGGCCTTTCCAAACCACACAGTTCTGTCCCCTGAGTTGCAATGTCGACTCTGGCCGGATGTGCTGGCCCTGCTACACCTCTGGAATCAAACTCTGTCCTGAGGCAAACTCTGTCCCTTTGACGGCTGCGCTTTCCCATGGAAGTTGCCAGGTTGGGCTACTCTGCTGATACTGTTTTCTTTCCCCGGTGCCGCACTAATGAATGTTTCCACGAACATCCCTGGATAACCAATAATAAACCTTCCCAAACTGCCATCCATCCCTGAATCCCCTACTTTAGATTTTGTAGTAATTATCACCTTACCAAACAATCTAGCCCTAAATGATGATCAATCCTGAAGAACTCAGAGTTGTTATCAAATGGGTTCTGATAAGCTCAATCCTGAAGAACTCAGAGTTGTTATCAAATGCGTTCTGATAAGCTCTCCTGTTAAAGAACCTCCTCAGAAGAG